GGAAGACAGGTATTGATTTTTCTTCAAATGTTTGGTAGAATTCACCAATGAAGCCATTTGATCTTAGGTTTCATTTTCTTGGAGGCTTTTGATTACTGGTACAATCTCCTTATTCATTACTGGTGTGCTGAGATTTTGTATTTCTTCCTTAATAAGTCTTGATAGGTTGCATGTTTCTCGGAATTTACCTTTTACCTAGGCCATCCAATTTGTTGTCATATAATTGTTTAGAGTATTTTCTTATGATTATCTGTACTACTGTGGTATAAATTATAACGTCTCTTCTTTCACTTTTCCTTCTGAATCTTCTTTCTTCATAGTTAGGCTAGTAAAGATTTGTTTATTTTATATTTTAAAAAAACAACTCTTTGTTTCATTGATCCTTCTATTATTATTGTCTTTGTTTTATATATCTTACTGTTCTCTCCCCTGGGCTTAGTTTGTTCTTTTTTTCATCCTTAGAGTAAAAAGTCACCTGTTTATTTGAGATCTATTATTTTCTTCACATAAGTTGTTTATTTCTATAAGCTTCTCTCTTGAATTCTTTCACTAAATGTCACACAAATTTTAACATGCTATGTTTATATTTTTATTTATTTCCATTTGATTTCTTCTTTAATCTTCTTGCTTGTGTGTTAATTTTCTAATTTGTGTCTTGATAATTTATAGTTTCACATCACTAGTCAGAAAACATACTTGAGATTATTTCAATCTTATTAAATTTGTTGATACTTTTTTTATTTCTCAACATATAATCTATCCTAAAGAATGTATCATGTGTACTTGAGAAGAATGTGTATTCTTTTGCTGTTGCAATGGAATTTCTATATATTCTTGTTAGTTTTAAGGTGCTGCTAAAGTTATCTGTGTCCTCACTAGTTTACTGGATGAATTATTCACTGTTAAAAATGAGTCACTGGGGATGGGGATATAGCTCAGTTGGTAGAGTGGTTGCCTCACATGCACAAGGTCCTGGGTTCAATCCCCAGTACCAAAAAAAAAAAAAAAAAAAAAAATGAGGCACTGAAGTTCCCTATGTATTATGGTCGATTTTTCCTTTTGACTCTATTAATATTTGCTTTATATATACAATGTATTCCAATGTTGTGAGTGCATATATTTATGCTATTATTAAACACATCTGATAAACTGACTCTTCTGTTATTATACAATAATTTTCTTTGTCTTGTTTTTGACTTAAAGTCTATTTTGTCTAAAGTAAATGCTGCCATCCCTCCTGTCTTTCTGTTGGCAATTTACATAGGATATCTTTTCTTTCAGGTTATGTTTGTGTCCTTAAAGCCAAAATGGTAGACTCTATTCTTAATCCTTTCATTGTAACTATTTATATCTGTTTGAAATCCTATTTGCCTTATGGCCACATTAACTTTTTCTTGGTTAAAATATGATAAGTCTACATACAAGACACAAGCGTAAGTGTTCATCTTTCAAGTGTTGTAATAGGCAACCAAAAGGCCTCATGATGGTGGGGCAGAGAAGGCTGCCCTTTTCATACCAGACTTGGTGCCCAGCCAGTACATTCATTTTCTGATTGTAGTCAGATACTAATGCTCCCCTTCCTAGGCCAGTCATGTGTGTGTGTGTGTGTGTGTGTGTGTGTGTGTGTGTGTGTGTGTATTCCTAGACTATCCACGAGCCTTAGGTGATACATTGACACCTTTTTGAGAACCCTGTTGACTCAGAATTCCTTTACCTCATCAGGTCTAATAAAGGCAGATACCTTTAGTGGACTCCTTCATAGTAAGAGGATTTCCCTCTCTGCAATGAGTATCATTTGATACTTGCCCAGTACTATTCCGGGGGGAAAAATTAATCAGTTCTTCTTGGTCTCTTGCTTATAAACTGACTTAGTAAGTAAATAAATATCGTAACTTTCATTTCTGCTACTTGTTTTAAATTACCGCCTTGACATCTGAAAGCTCAGCAAATTGACATAGTGCAGAGATTGGGCAATTAAACAAAATGGCTGTTCTAGAAGAATAAAAAAGCCTGAAGGTCTCTCAGGGCACTCATGAGACGACTTCTGCATTTTCCAAGAGCCTAAGGGTCTCATAGGACATTTCATCAAATGTTCATGGGAAACAGATTCCAAGGGGCACTCACCAGCAATGCTTGGGAAGTGCTTACAGATTGTTACAGAAACTTTTGGGTTTGAGATGAAACCACTGGTCTGTCTTTCTCTTAAGCTCCTAATCCCCAGCCAAACTTACTGTTGGATCAAATAAAAAATCCAGTAAAGAAACTCTAAAAATGCTGAGACATAGTTTCCTAGCCACTTTTTATAGCCCTATGACAAAGGGACCAAAGACAGTTGGAGTACCTGAAAGCTGATTCGTACCAATAACTATTAATTTTGAATAAGTATCAACTACAACTTCAATGGAGGAAATATATATGCACCTTCAGTTGTTCCTCTGCAAAGGCCTCAAGAAACCTTAGAAATTTGATTAGTTCTCTTTCAAGATAAAGGAGATAATCTTGTCCAACTTAGATGCCATGCAGAGTGAGTTACTCCAGTTTTGTTTTTTTTCCCGGAGATAGCATCAAGATAGCAGAGCACAATCAGGAGTAGCAGCAGCAATGACACCACCACTGCCATGTAATCTGAATGCTAGACATGTCTGTGCTGGATTCAGGTGGGCTTCGAGAGAAGTTGTGATAGTGGCTACTCAGGTAGAGTTTATAACTTTCTGCCTCAAATATATACCAGCATTAAAAAAGTGGCACAAGGGTGGCAACCAGGATGCATCCACAAACTCTGCCACTGTACCAAACAGCATTGGGCATGGGGAAGGCATCTGAGCTGCTTGGCTGCAACTTACCAAGTGCTATATCCCTATTCATACAGAAGCCAAAGCAGTGCCAGAAACTGCTCCCATTAATGTTTGTGCCTAATCACCATCTTAGGAGTTCTAGCCAGGAATCAAAAACCATAGATATATCTGAAGGAAATATAACATGACAATATAAAATTTTGTGATCTTGAATATAGGGTATCTCTTCATTTATTTAGGCCTGTTTGGGGTATTGTAGTTTTCTATTCTTCTGTTTTTAGTACCTCTGCCTTTAAAGTATTTCTCTTGCACTCAGTTTGTCACTGACTTTTATCCAATGGGAAAACTGCATTTTATTAGAGTATTATGTTTGTTTACACAATGCACATAAACACATTGATATGATTATAGTTTTCTCCCATTTTTTAATTTATATTGTTTCATGAGGAGTTTGTTTCTTGTAGTATTAGAGATTGAACCCAGGGCCTTACACATGCTAGGCAAACGCTCTACCACTAAGCTACCTCCCCAGCCACAACCTCTTTTATTTTTTTGAGGCAAGTCTTTCTAATTTGCCTAGGTTGGACTCAAATTTGTGATCCTCCTTCCTCAGCCTTCCCAGTAAATGGAATAAAGTAGCTGGGATTACAGACATGTTCACTACACCCAGCTTGCTTCATTTGTTTTTTATTCCTGTGTTTTTCCTCTTTTCTTCTGTAATTATAGGTAAGTGTTTGTTTTATATTTTAATCCTTCTATTACCCGCTAGCTATATCTCTTTGCTAATTTTCAGTTGGTCACTTGGAGATTACAATATGTATGTATCTTAAACTCACCCCAACTAATTTAAATTTGATACTATACCACTTAATGTAAAACACACAAACACACACACACACACACACAAACCCATCAATTTATTAATGTTACTATTTTTTGCTTTACTCTCATGTCTTTCAAAATAGTTACATTAAAAATACTACTACTACTACTAATAATAATAATAATCCCCTCTACATCAGGAAATCATTTTATTTATTTTCCAAGAATAGTTTAAGCCCATATGTACAATATGAATTTTGTGATATTTATGTTTAATTAATATAACTAGTAATTTAATTAATAGTAGTTTAATTAATATAACTAGTAAGCACCAGACCTATCAGTATCTGAATCTATTTTACTAATACAATATTTATGTTTTATTTTATTAGCTAATTATTTAAAGAAATTTAGCATGATCATAAGAATCAGAAAGAAAAGTACTTCTGTAGAAACTGAGAAAGGAGCATGTTCCTATGGTTCTTCCAATATTATCTTAACTAGTATTCCATCTACCAAATCAATCCACTGCTTTAAATGAAATGTACTACAGTGATCACTCTAACAAACTTAATCATGATATCTGTCTCAGGAGTATTTTAATGGATTCCCATTGCCTGTGGAATAAAACCCATACGTCTTAGCATTGTGATCAAGAACTGTCTTCTTTTTTCCCCCAGCATCATCTCTTACTCCTTTTCTTGCTTTGTCATCATTGCTCTAGCCACACAGAAATATATTCCTCTGAATAGTCCATAATCCACATCATTGATTACTTGACCTTAAGAATTTCAGAATTTCATTTACTTTTTAAAATTTAGCTCCTCTCACACTCAGGGATACCCTTTGCTCTAGAGAAAGTACTCTTTCTCTGTATTCCTACAGTTCTACCTGTTTACCCTCCATTAGAGCATGAATAACCTTATGCTGTATTTGTCTATTGATTTGTTTGTATCCTCACAATGAATTCATTATAGGCAGAGTCTGTGTTTTATCTATTAACCCCACTACCTAAGAAACATCAGGCAAACAGTAGAAATAGTAGTTGGAAAAAAATGAATACATTTGCAAATTGCTTCAGTTTGGAAATTACTTCAAGCTAACATTATCAATTCTTACTGGTTTTCTAAATATGTTGAATATATGTTATTTAGAGCTTGAAATGTGCCAAGTGCTTAGGAACATTACATTTTAATAGTGAAAAGTGGAAGGAAGATAGTATAGATTAAACTGACAATGAACTTATACTATATCATCACAGTCATAAAAAATTAATTCTTCTCATTCATATTTGAATCCATTGTATTAATAATTTTGCTAATATTATAAAACTTAACTATTATACAAAGAAATAGGTGAAAAAGAGACAGTGTGATAACATACCAAAGATACCATGGCCCAACCAGTTTTATTATAGATGAACTCCAAGTTGTTCCTTCTTAAATAGAGCAAACCACCAACAAGTGACACTAATAGGGCCAAAGCAATGGTACCAGAGTAGTTCGGTGGTCTGAAAACACGAATCTGCAAAAATGAGATGAAAATTTTAAAAGTGAAACAGAAATAATCATTTTTTTCCCCAGTTACTAGCCCTTCTCATTGGATTTTTGATTGGTTTCCCTAAGGAATGACAAAGTTCAGCATTTTTCCATAAGCTTATTGTCCTTTTGTACAATCTCCATATGGAAATGTTTATTCAGATCCTTGGCTCACTTTTAAATGGGTTTTGTCTTTTCCTTATTGCTTTTTAGAACCTTATTACACATTACTAAATATAAATCAGAAAAATGATTTGCAAAATATTTCCCCTATTCTATAGGCTATCTACTCACTCTTGATGTTGTCTTTTAAAGTGTAAAGGCTATTTAATAGAAATAGATACAACTGATAGAAACTCATGATTTGTAAATACTATACTTGATTATATACTTGTACTATAACTTGATTATAGTAACTTTTCCTTCCTAAAAAGAACCAAGGATCTTTGGAGAGATGGCTTTTGATGTTAGGTTGAGTAAATGGGTAGATACAAGAAGAGTCTGGAATTAACTGTTAGGTCAGAAAATAAGAAAGTATTTAAAATGATGAGGCATGTCACAGAACACAGGAGTCACCATGAAGGACTCCCACTAGTGAACTCTGATATAACTTAGAACCAAATTAATTAAGAATAGCAATAAATTACAAACCACGGGGGGAAATAATATGTTTTGTATTCTTTTGTGATATGATTAGTCAGATGCAGGTGGAAAAGTTCAAGATAAAAACAAATTGATTGTACTCTCAAGTTCAAGAAACAAGAGGCATCACACACCACATGAAAAAGATACCAGAAGTGATATGATTTGGATAACTTCCAAAGGCTTTGGGCTGCAGGAGGTCTCCAATTGCTTAGTACCTGACGTTGGAGTGATTATGGCATGAAAATAATATCCCCTCATGATTCATAGGACAAATACAGGAGATAATTTAAAAAAAAAACATGATCTACATAGTATGGTGGCTAAGAAAGCATAAGCAGAATCCTATATGACTAAACATTAGCCACCATACTATGTAGGTCATTTTTTTTTAAATTATCTTTGCTAGCTGTTCAGCTGCAAATCCAATTTTTTGAAGGTCAAAATTTTTCTAAGCCAGCAGGCTATAGAAATATTCCAGATTAAAGCAAGATAAGAAAGATAACAACTAAATGAAATGATTTATTCTAGAATAGATCTTGAAAGATGGGAAAATGTTATAAAGGGTATAACATTCTAATTGGAACTACATAATAGGATCCAATAATTCTAATATGGACAGTAGCAGCTCAAATAAAATTATTATACACTGTAAATACAATTTGTCCAATTGGTCCATATGAGAGACAACTCTCTTAGATTAAATGTATACAGACCTACTGGTAAAAATGAATGCTTCTGTATTACTTTGAATATGAATACACTTTCAAAGTAACTGGTTATATTTGTTCAATGCAGAAAATAATGAAATTATTAGGGAAAAATAGCTTTAAGTCCTAGATGTTATCATTAACATCATCTCCTTCCACAATAATCAGTCTATTTCAACTTATATTTACATTTATGCTCTTAAAAAATTCTAGGTCATACTATAAATACTTTCAAAACTATTTTCTCACTTGGCAGACCATGAGTTTGATCCTATAAGAAATAATCTTGCAAATCATTTTTTGGCTACACCATAGCACATTTATTGAGTCTCTTATTTTATAGACATTTGATTTATTTCCATTTTTTTCCATTAAAATGAAAGCTTTTAAAAATTTTCTATGACTAAGAATCTGAATCATCCCTAATTACATCCTTAAGTTAAATTCCTAGAAGTAGAATTAAGTTAAATTACAAAAGACAGATTTATAACATATACTGTTAAAATAGTTACATCAATTTACAGTTGTAACAGCAGTATACATAAGTAGGTATTTTTTCCATATGGTTCTAAATTTTATTCCTATTTGCACAAAAGATAAAAAATTTTATCATTTGGTTTTTAATTAAATTTCTTTAATTGCTAATATAATTAAACCACTGTCAATGCATTTTCACCACCACCCCCCCCAATTAGCTTGGGTCTAACTCATGAACTCTTTAACGGTTTTTAAAATATCAACCAACCATTGTTCTAAAAACCATTTGAATTCACCTAATCAAAGTTCAGCTTATCATTCATTAGATATCAAACATAGTTTTCTCTATGCTAGAACAAATATCCATATGCAAATTTTAAAATCCTATAGACTTATTAAAATACTCTAATAAAACAAGCTCATCAGTCTATTATTACAATGTGGGGAATAAAAGCATACATGAACGTCTGTTCTGTCAGCAATCCACTTTGCTAGCTGTTCAGCTGCAAATCCAATTCTTTGAAGGTCAAAAGTATCAGCTCTCTTGGGTCTGCCTTTTGGAGGAAAATGCATAAATGTAGGAGCAGAGTTCATGTTGAGCTGTAAAACATGATAAAAAAAAACACTAAATATCATCCCAACATTATCTATTGTAGATCTAACATTTTATACTCTTTTTGCCTGAATTTTGGAAACAGATTTTATTTAAAAATCCAAATGTATTTTGAGAGCTTAGTTTTTGCTTTTATGCATCCCAATGCACTGCTGAATGAAAAAAATGGTGAATTTGACTAACTTCTCTGAACTCTCACATTTAATATACATTATTAATATCCTCAACTGCATCCTCTACATTTTTACAGTCATTTCATTCTTCATCTTTCTAGAATTTTGTAATTAAGGTAAAGAAAAAGATACTGAAGTGACAGAAATATTGTGATTTTACAACATATAGAGATTATTTTGCTTCTTAACCAACTATTGAAATTTGGCAAAAATATACATAACATGAAATTAATTTCAAACACACTATAAGTAGATTTAATTTCCTATAAAATTGAAAATCTTTTTTTGTAGTAATGATTATTAAGCAATAGAAATTGATATCTTTTGTCTGAATAATTAAAATTACTAGAGATTGCAAAAGAAACCCACAATATAGTCTTTTTTCCGTTCAACATGTCTATTAATTCAAATGTCTAAAATGGTTATATCACCGGAATGTTTTCCATGGGTAATTTCCATTTGAAAAGCATACTAAGCAGAACACTATCCTATAGTAATTATAATACTTTTTAATGATAATAAGTCTAAAAATATGTATTAGATTAATTTATATTGAGGAGCAAACTACAAAAGTATACACAGATTAACATTCTGTTGCCCAGCAATTATTTTTAAAAACACTTAAAACGGAAGGCCAACAGTTAAATATAGTTCATCATTTCCTAATAATCGGAATGAAATCAAAATCAAGTCAATTTACACCCATTAGACATTAAATTAAGAATTGACATCAAGGTAAAGATACAGTAAAAGTATAGCTACCAAGAGCAACAAAGTTTACAGTCAGGACTAAAACAGCTTGTGCCCTATAAATGAACTCTGACTGCAGCTGTCATATTTACAATAACTTCCAATTTATACAGCTTTATTCAGCTCACTACAAAAGAGTTGAACACTTGACAGAAATCTATTCCAAATATTTCTCATTTTTAGTATTACAAACTCAATCAAATTTTCATTATTTACCTCCATGTTTTCTGCATTAGTACTTTAAAATTCCTACCAGTAAATAATAATATTTGGGCCAGGTATGTGGCACACACCTGTAATTCCAGAAACTCCAGGGAACTGAGGAGGATGATTGCAAATTTGATGCCAACCTCAGCAACTTAGCAAGACCCTGTGTCAAAATAAAATATCAAAAGTACTGGGGATATAGCTAAGTAGTAAAAAGCCCCTGGGTTTAATTAATTCCCCAGTACCAAAAAAAAAAAATGCTACTATTATAGTAAGAGGTGGGATCTTTGAGAGATGAGTAGGTCACGAAACTCTACCTTTCTGAGTCAGATTAGAGGTATTATAAAAGGAAAAGCTGACTCCTCTTGTCTTATCTGTCTTTCACCATGTGATGACATAATAAGAAGGCCCTTGAAAGATTCTGGCACCTTTACATAAAACATTTATATACATTTCTGTTCATTATAAACTATCTAGTCTCATAATATTCTGTTACTGTAGCACAGAATAAGAAAACATTTAAGGAATTATTTTTTCCAAATGGATACACAGTTTAGTTTTTTTTTTCTTGAAATGGTTTCTCTTCTTGCTCTTCATTCCTGTACCATACAATTTTTCATTTATTCTACAGAATTTAGATTTAACTAACTTCTGCAAAATAATAATAACAATAATGTATTTTGGGGAGAAGGAAGACTGCCACGCCAGTATGATTGAATATACATTCATACACCAGGCAGAGAATTAAACATCTACTTATATTAGCATTTAATTTTAATCTTCCCAAAAGTCCTAAGAGAAAGGCACTATTATTTTACCTCTTAAAGATTAGAAGAGGGGGAATTAAAGAAAGGATCACACAATTTACAAAGGTCACACAGCCAGCTATAAAGAGGTTCACTTTGATGCAGACTCAGGTTTTCTAACTTTCTTTCTCTCTCTCTCTCTCTTTTTTGGTATCAGATTGAGCACAGGGACACTCGACCACTGACCCACATTCCAAGCCCTATTTTATATTTTTATTTAGAGACTGGGTCTCACTGAGTTGCTTAGGGCCACACAAAGTTGCTGAGGCTGACTTTCAACTTTCGATCCTTCTGCCTCAGCCTTCTAAACCACAGGGATGACAGGCATGCATAGTTCAATGCCACTCTATGATGATGCTTTTTAAACTATCTCCTTTGGATAAAAATTGTAAATTTCTCACATTTTTTTTCAAAATAACTTTTTATAAAAATTTTAAGCTAGTTCATTGTATCAGTAAATTATAAAAGTCCCTACAATATGCTGCAACCATGAGACAGATATAAATACAGGAAGCAAAAGATTACTTCAATAAGGAGATAGAGGTTCTGAAAAAAAAAAAGAAATCCTTAACATGAAAGAAACAATAAACCAAATTAGAAACTCAATATTTTGAAAACACCACCAACATATTAGGTAACTTGAAAGACAGGACCTCGGACAATGAAGACAAAATATATAATATATCTTAAAAAGAATGTTGACCATGTGCATGATAAAGGGGCCCCTAGAAGTGGAGTAGCCTCTCCACTGTTGAGCACTGGCACCTGCTCAACTGAAACTGGTTTTGCCCTCACCTCCTCATCCCCTCAATGCCTTTGTCGAAGCCCCTCCAAATTTAGGAATCCTTGTGCCAGCTCAGTAGTACTAGGCAGCTGACTATGGTACTTGTCCACACCAGGGCACAGGTACACTGGGGGATGGGGCTTTGGCCCATCCCTGACCCAGCCTAAGAAAGTATGTGGGTGTGAGCATAAGCCTGAAGTGCTCCTTTTTTAGCTAGAAGGTGGGTACTGTGTGGAGGGGGTGAGGAGGGGTGTGGCTTGACTGGAGTGACAGCTGGCAGTCACTTGACACCCTGAAATGTCTGTGGGTGTGGCACTGATAAAAGGGGGGTGGGGTCTAAGTGGAAAAAAGGGTTCCAAAAATGACTTTTCAATCGGTCCCAGGAAAAAAGATGGTAAGATAAATAGTAAAGATGGTAAGAAACCATAAGTACAGCACTCAAGATATATGGGATAACATAAAAAAAAAACTTAAAGAGTTTGTGGGATAGAAGGAGGCATAAACCAAACCAAAAAAATGAACAATCTATTCAACAAAATAATATCAGAAAATTTGTCAAACATGAAGAATGAATTGGAAAATCAAATTCAAGAGGCTCACAGGACTCCAAATGTACAAAATCACAACAAATCCACACCAAGGCACATTATAATTTAAATGCCTAGCATGCAGAATAAGGAGAGAATTTAAAACCACAAGAAGAAGGAATCAGATTACATATAGGGGGGAAAAAATTAGGGTATCTGTAGATTTTTCTACCCAGATCCTGAAAGCTAGAAGGTCCTGGAACAACATATACGAAGATCTGAAAGAAAATGGATGCCAATCAAGAATCTTATATCCAGCAAAATTAAGCTTTAGATTTGATGACAAAATAAAAACTTTCCATGATAAACAAAAGTTAAAAGGATTTACAACTAGAAAGCCTGTAGTACAGAACATCCTCGGCAAAATATTCCATGAGCAGTAAGCAAAAAACTATAAAAATCAGCAAAGGGGGGTATTATGCTAAAGGAAATATCAAGTTAAATACCAAAAATAAACAAATACAACCAGGAATACAAATCATGTCTCAATAATAACCCTGAATGTTAATGGCATAAATTTACCAATCAAGAGAGACAGACTGGCAGATTAGATGGAAAAAAAAAAGACCCAATAATATGCTGCCTGCAAGAGACTTATCTCATTGGAAAAGACATCCACAGACTGAAGGAGAAAGATTGGAAAAAAATATACCACTCACATGGACTGCAGAAACAAGCAGGGGTTTTTATCCTCATATCAAATAAAGTAGGCTTCAAGCCAAAGTTAATCAAAAGGGATAAATAAGAACATTTCATATGGCTTAAAGGAACCACACATAACAAGATGTAACAATTATAAATATATATATATATATATATGTGTGTGTGTGTGTGTGTCCCCCAAACAATGGAGCATCTACGTTCATCAAACAAACTCTTGTCAAGTTCAAGAGTCAAATAGGGCACAACACAATAATTCTGGGTGACTTTAACTCACCTCTTTCACTACTGGATAGATCTTCTAAAGAAAAGCTAAAAAAAAAACCTACAGAACTCAGTAATACAATCAATAACTTAACAGACATATAGAATAGAATATTTCATCTATCAACAAATGAATACACTTTCTTCTCAGCAGCACATGGATCCGTCTCTAAAACAGACCATATATTATGTATGTCACAAAGCAACTCTTAGCAAATACAAAAAGTAGAGATACCACCCTGTATCATAATGGAATGAAATTAGAAATCAATGATAATATAAAAAACAGAAGCTACTCAAACATCTGGACACTAAATAATATACTACTGAATGAACAAGGGGTTGCAAAAGACATCAAGGAGGAGATTAAAAAATTCTTAGAGGTAAATAAGAACACTGACACAACATATCAAAATCTCTGGGAAACTACTAAGGCAGTACTAACAGGAAAGCTCATTGCATGGAGTTTGTTCCTTAAAAGAAGAAAAAGTCAACAAATAAATGACCTACATTAAATCTCAAAGCCCAAGAAAACAAAGAATAAACCAAGGCCAAAAGCAGTAGAAGACAGGACATAATTAAAATCAGAGCTTAAATCAATGAAATTGAAACAAAAGAAACAATTAAAAAATTTTAAAAAGTTGGTTCTTTCAAAAAATAAATAAAATTGATAAACCCTTAGCTATACTAACAAAGAGAAGGAGAGAGAAAATTTAAATTACTAACATCCATGATAAGAAAGAAAATATCACGATGGACACTACATAAATACAGAAGATAATTAGAAATTATTTTGAAAATTTGTACTCTAATAAAATAGAAAGTATCAAAGGCATTGAAAAATCTCTAGAGTCATATGATTTTCCCAAACTGAATCAGGATGATATGCACAAGTTAAACAGATCAATTTCAAGCAATAAAATAGAAGATGTCATCAGAAGCCTACCAACCAAGAAAAGCATAGGACCGGATGAATACACAGATTAGTTCTACAAGACATTCAAAGAATTAATACCAATACTTCTCAAATTATTTCATGAAACAGAAAATGAGGGAATACTTCCAAACTCATTCTATGAGGCCAATATCACCCTGACTCCAAAACCAGAAAGAGAACATATCAAAGAAAGAAAACTTCAGACCAATATCTCTAATGAACACAGATGCAAAAATTCTCAATAAAATTCTAGGAAATCAAATAAAAAAACATATAAAAGATGGTGCACTATGATCAAGTGGCATTCATCCCAAGGGTGCAAGGATCGTTCAACATAAGGAACTCAATAAATGTAATTCATTGTATCAATAGACATAAAAGAATCATATGATCATCTCAATAGATACAGAAAAAGCACAACAAAATACAACACCCCTTCATGTTCAAAACACTAGAAAAGCTAGGGATAATAGGAACATATCGCAACATTGTAAAAGCTATCTATGCTATGTCCAAGGGCAATATCACTCTAAATGAAGAAAAATTGAAAGCATTCCCTCTAAAAACTGGAACAAGACAGGGATGCCCTCTTTCACCTCTTCCATTTAACATAATTCTTGAAAACTCTAGCCAGAGCAAAATTAGACAGACAATAGAAATTAAAGAGATGTGGATAGGAAAAGAAGAACTCAAACTATCACTATTTGCCAATGACAGATTCAATATCTAGAGGATCCAAAAAATTCCACCAGAAAACTTCTAGAACTAATAAATAAGTGCATTTGGCAAAGTAGCAGGATATAAAATCAACACCTATAAATCAAAAATATTTCTGTACATCAGTGACAAATCCTCTGAAAGAGAAACTAGTAAAACTAACCCATTTACAGTAGCCTCAAAATATCAAATAAAACACTTGAGAATCAACTTAATGAAAGAGGTGAGAGACCCCTACGATGAAAACTATAGAACACTAAAGAAAGAAATTTAAAAAGACCTTAGAAGAGAGAAAAATCTCCCTTGTTCTTGGATAGGCAGAATTAATATTGTCAAAATAACCATACTACCAAAAGCGCTATACCAATTTAATGCAATTCCAATCAAAATTCCAATGACATTCTTCATATAAATAGAAAAAGCAGTCATAAAATTCCTCTGGAAAAACAAGGGACAAGAATAGCCTAAAACGAGTAGACATTTGGACTGGAAGCCTTGGCTCTAGTAGTCAGATTGGATACAAATTATTAACTGCAGAAAATAGCTGATTAAGAGCTAGAGACCTGAGTGCTAGCAGATGAATTCAAATTCTAGGTACACATTACACTCACATTCTAACTTTGAAAAAGTAACTATCTCTTTATACATTAATTTCCTCATCTATGAAATGAAGACATAATCTCTCTCAAATTGGTCACTGTGAAGCCAAATGAAAAGAATATATCTGATGTGGGAGGCTGACTAGCATGTGACTGGGTCCATCTCCCCAGCTGAGTGGTGTGGTCATGCTGCTAGACAGCCTGGATCTTCTAGGGTTCCAGCCACTATGTCTCCTGCATGGGTGTGCCTTCTTACAGCCCCATGGGTCAAGCTACGCTCACCTGTTCCTTTGCAATATTACTCCTTGCCCTGTTTTGAATAGAATGTTCCATGGAATCACCTTTTGTGTGTCCCCTTCTCTTACACTGCCCTTGGGTGTGGCCTGCCTATATGTCAGTCAACCTGCTGACAGCAGACATCATGAAGCTAGACTCAGCCCCTTGAAACCTGACCCCTTGCCTCATATAAATAGCTTCTCCTCTATAAAAGGGGTCAGCACATGGTCTCTTCTCTCTCTCTCTGTGCCCAGGGACCCTTAAGGTCAGAGGAGTTCTCACAGCACCCCCAAAGATAAATGTATTTCTATCTCTTATGTGGTATTTCGAGCAACCCAATTAGCCCAGTTCCCCTGGAGTGACCCCTGAGTGTTTTAGTTGTGAGCAACCGGCAAGTGATGTCCCTGGGTGAGTAAAAGATCTAAGGGCTTAAGCTGCCTGAACAAAAGCCATAATCCGAAGCACTCAGCATTAGCAAGGACAACAACACAACTTGACAACATCAATGGCAACTAGCATCTGTATACCAAATCCAATATTTTGTTTATAGAGAAGACTGTAAAAGAAGTTACATTCTTCTACTTTGCTGCCACAACAGATTAAGAGGCTTAAAAAAAATAGAAGTTTGTTTTCTTACATTTATGGAGACTGGAAGTACAAAATCAATGTGCTGACGAGGTTTGGTTTCTGATGAAACTTCCTTTGCTAGCTTTGCTAGAAAGCAACCTTATTGCTATGATGTGGCCTTTTTTCTGTGAACATGCACTCCTGATGTATCCTCCTCTGTTATGAGAACATCAGTGCTATTGGATTAGCAACTTACCCTAATGGTTTCCTTTAACCTCAATTACCTCCTTAATCACCTTACCTCCAAATATAGTCATGTTGTGATTTATGGCTTTACCATATGAATTTGGAGTGGGATAAAATTCAGTCCATAACAGAGAGAAAACACTTTTAAATAAACAATAACTTATATTAAAAATATTTATATTTATCACAATGGAGAAATTAGGTTAAGTAAAATTTCTATTAGGTTTTATACAAAATATCATAAATTTGTGCAAAATATTACCTAGACCACATATAATTAAATAGAAAAATAATATTAATGCATGTAAATTGCCACTGTATGCTGATAAAAACACATTTGCTCTCCAATACAAACTTCAAAATGTGTTTACTCACAATGGCTGAAACTAAAATGATAGAGATAATATTAACTATAACTTTAACCAAATGATGTATTTTATTTTAACTACTTATTATATTTATTAACTTAATGAAATATAGTTTTATCTGGCAAGTAAAAATGTATCAACTATAACCAACTATACTATGTAGTACCAAAATGAAATACAACTTTTTTTTACCTGTTGAAAAACATCTGTTCCTTCATCATAGTCCACCATACTGAAAAACAGTTTGTTACAAAAAGCAGATGAATAACGCCAGGAGTTAGCCAATATTTGGTATTCTTCATTAGCTTGCCTAAAAAGGTAATGGAGCAAATAGAAAACATATCAATATTCAAATAAAAAAGTCTCTAATAGGACAAGTAATCTAGAGCAAGAACTGACAAATTCTGTATCAACTGCAAGCTAATAATACAAGTATGGTCTACAAGATAATGTTTGTAAAAATAAATAAGTAAATAGAAAAAAGAAAATATTTTATGATATGAAATTACATACAACTCAAATTTTGCTGCCCATTAATAGTTATATTGCAGTGCAGTCATACTGACTGATTTAAATATTTCTTAAGGCTACACTGTAAGGTAAAGGTGAATAGTTGTAACAAAAACTGCTGGGCCAAAAGTTTGACATGCTCCTTTAAAATTTACCAACATTTCTTCAAGGGAATAAAAACATTCTGTGGCATTTGCTATACATATATATGAAATTTTTCAATAATTTTCAGTAAAAGGCACAGAGCAATTTTTAAAAATACTTTTGAGTTTAACAGAACAACAAAAATCCTAAGAAAATGTAAAGTTTTAAACCTATAAATACAGATATACTTCACCTTTATGTATTTATGTAAAAATGCTTTTAATAAACCTAAAATTAAGCACCAATTTCTCTGAGTACCTAAACCAGCTACCACAAACCTTTTTCTAGGATAATATTTATTCCTGTATTGAACCCATTTTTATTGAACATTTACCAATTTTCCAGATGATGATATTTCCTACTAGATCTAGGGGGAGGAGAAACAGAGAAATGGCTTTGCAGAAAGAACATAATAGAAACCAGAAGCAAGAAGTTAAAAAAAAAAAGAAAAAAGAATGCTTCTTCTATATAGTTAACTATTCTCAAGTGTTTCTCTCGTCCTCTTCCCCCCAAATGTAAGAAATACAAAGGTAAAGTCCCAAACAGACTAAAACTAGCAGCAGATAAGAAATTTAAAGAAATATTTGGAAAACAACTAGTGGAACAGATTTGATAGAGAAAGCTACAATCTAAGAGGCAACTACAGGACAGTTAAGAAATGAGGAAAAATACTAGATTCATAAGCAGCAGAGTCTAGAGATAAAAAAAATGATCTGAAAATAAGGGTCTTATAAATAAACTTCTACTATTTGTATAAATAGTACACACAAACTTTTGCCCTCCCCAATCCCAGTGTCAGCTTTTCTATTGTTTAATGACCAGACTAGAAAAAGAAATCATCAGATATAAGAGGAAAACCTCACATAATTTTAAAACAAATTCTCCAAACAAAAGCAGATTTCATAGGTCAAAACACTAAAAAGAAAATGCTAATAGACTTAGAAAAAGTAAAAGACAAATATAAATTCTTGTGAAATAATACTGTTGAGTCGGAGACAGACGAGAGAGAGAAAGAGAGAGAAAGAGAGAGAGAGAGAGAGAGAGAGAGAGAGAGAGAGAGAGAAAAGAAAAAAGAGTTTATTACTTCATTTTTGTTTGCATTAGTTCTCACTGCCCCTAATCTCATAGAGTAACACAAAGGCCCATCATGGATGCCTACACTTAAGTCGCCTGTGTTACAGGAGAGAAACACTGAGTTTGGGAGGACTGTTAACAAGCCTGTGCTCTGTGCTTTAGTTGTCTGAGACATCTAACTCCTTAAAGCTTATCGCTATACACAAAACCCTGAGAAACTGCACAGGCAAAAGAGCAGCCAGGCCTTTTGTGGCCTACCCAGGAAAAATGTGCAGGATGCTCAGGGTGCATGGTACACATATTTGTCCAACCAACAGTATTCACCCCAAAAAGAAAAAAAGATGTAAAAAAAATGAAGGAAGAAAAGGAATAAAGGAATATAAGAAACAAAGTAAAAGATAGCTCAAATTAAATATGGACATTAGAAGATAGTTTTTAAAAATTCATAGAACAAAAAAGACAGAGGTAGAATGTAAGTGGAAGAGGGAAGAAAGTAACCTGGAACTATAATCCAATAAACCACCTCAAAACAAGTCTAAATGCATAAATAACAACAACAACAAAAACAAAAATAGATAAATGAGATTATGCAGAACTAAAAAGCTTCTAGGCAGTATAGGAAATAATCGACACAGTGAAGACACAACCTACAGAATGGGAAAAAATATCTGGAAACTATCTGACAAAGCATTAATATCTAGACTATATAAGGAACTCAACAGCAATAAAAAAATCAAATAGTCCAACTTAAAAATGGGCAAATAAATTGAGTAGAGTATCTCAAAAGATGCAGACAAAAGTCCTCCACATCAGTAGAGATACAGGAATGAAATCCAAACCACATTCTGATATCTCACCCAAGATATGGCTATAATCAAAAAGATAAAACAAGTTCTCTCGAGGACATAGGGAAAAAGATATCCTTAGACATTGTTGGTAGAAATATAAATTAGTAAAGCCACTATGAAAAATGGTGTGGTGATGCCTTAAAACAAAAAAGAAAGAAAAGAAACACAACTATTGTGTGATGCAGCTATCCCATTCATGAATTTTTATTCAAAGGCAATGAAATATTAAATAGATACCTGCTCTCCCATATGTATTATAGCACTATTCAAAATAGCCAGGATATAAAATCAACCATTCATTAATGAGTAAAGAAAATACAGTAGATACACACAATGGAGTACAAGTCAGTCATCAAAAGGACACAGTCCTGTCATTTACATATGAATACAACTGGAGGTTCATAATGTTGAGCATTAGGCAAGCACACAGAAACAAGGACCAAATATGATTTCACTCATATGAAGAATATAAAAAAGGTAAACTGACATAAACTGTTAGCAGAATAATTATTATCAGAGGGCAGAGGGTGAGACTGGGGTTTATGAAGAAACTGCTTAATAATTTTCATTTATAGCTAAATAAGAGATATGAATGTTGGTTTTCTATTTTGCATTATGATTATAGCTAATAGTAATGTATTAAATAGTCCTAAATAGCTAGAGGAAAGAATTTTGAATTTTATCATGAAAGAATGATATTTGTTTGAGAAGACAGGCAATCTAAGTATCATAAACTATATGAAAAAATATAACAAAATACCCTCTCGTACATCACAAAATATACAAGCATTTTTACCAATCAACAAAAAAGCTTTTTAAGACATTCTTTGGGAGGAAAAAAGAAACAGATGATGGTTTTAGATATAATTAAAAGAGACTACACCTTCAAATTAGAATGATTTCCCAGGTTTTGAATAAGAGGAATGAAAAAAAGACCAACATCAAGAAACACTGTGATATTTCAAAACACTGGATTAACAGAAGGTTTTAAAGGTTTTCACAGAAAAAAAGTTCATAACTGGCAAACAGTAAAATTGGATGTTTGGTCACTTACAATATTAGACTCTGACAGATAAAACAAGTCCTTCAGAGTTCTGAGCAAATATTTTCCATTTAAAATTCTACAATGAGACAATCAAATTTGAAATAAACATGTTGAAATGTAAGGGATCTAAAGTTTACCTCCTGCACATTTCTTTAGGAAATTACATTAAGACATAATCAAGAGAAAAGACAGCATAATGAAAAAGTGAGAAAACATGAGACAATGAGAGAAACATTATCAGAGAGGATGAAAAAGCAAGTAAAAATGTGGTGAGATAGGAAAGGTAGAAGATGTGTAAAAAAGCTGTAATCTAATTCTGAAGCTATAAAGTTATCACTACAAATTAGAATAGGAATTTAACTGTACATGTAGATGAAGAGAATAGATGCTAGACAATAATTAAAATCAGAAATTGCTTTAATATTTACTATATTAAGGAAGACATATTTGCTACCACAAAAGGAAAAGAAGCAAACAATGAACATTAAGAGGCAAGGTCAAGAAAAGAGGCAAATTAAAATGGAGCATAATTTCCATCAATCGGTGAAGAAAACAATTAGTTATTCTGAATGCTGTCTTTTGTTTGGGGCAGGTGTCATACACAACTGTCCTACAGAAAAGTAGGACATAAATATAACCTCCTATTTTTTAAGGAATGCTATTATGTGGAAATACATAACGTAAGTGCTGTTTATATTTTTTCACATTTGTTAATTCTCTCTATAGACAGGGAACAGATACATTATGCTTAAACTCTAGAATGAAAATGTATTAACTATGACAATATAGAAGTATTGCTGACAAAATTTGGCAGGTGAAAGAAAAAGAGAAGAAATGATCGGGAAGGTTGTCCTTAATGATCTTTATGTCAAAATCAGAAAACCAAGAAGTGTCAGCTACAGTTAATGGACAAGAATGCTATTTATTGTTACAATGTTAATCAAAAGCAGAAATAAAATGTAATAAAAATCAGAAGAGGTGAGAGGATTTAAATCTTAACCTATCACAGCAAGAAATGTAAACATAAGTTCACTATATTAAATATTGCTTTAAGAATAAGATTTAGACTATAATCCCAGTGGCTCAGGAGGCTAAGGCAGGAGGATCACGAGTTCAAAGCCAGCCTCAGCAACTTAGAGAGGCCCTAAGCAACTTAGATCCTGTCTCAAAATAAAATATAAAAAGTGCTAAGGAGATAGCTCAGTGGTTAAACACCCCTGGTATCAAAAAAAAGGAACAAGATTTAGAGACATGAGGAGAAAAACAAAAAGAAAACACAAAAAAACAACAGTAATCATTTCTGCAGATCTTACAAACAGGTGAGTTGCAACGGTCAAAGACTGCAGTTCTTCATTTTAGTTCCTTTTTCTTTTCTTCTTTTATTAATTAAAAAGGAGCATGCAGTATAGCTGATGATTAAAGATGATTTTAAGAAAACTGAATATGAGCAGTGCTATAATCTGAGATTACTTAGCATAAAGTAAATATTTTAAGGACACCATTTTCTCAAAGCATAGTACAAAAACTGATCACTGTAAAGAATACTGTAAGATTGCATTTTGCTTAGTACATAGAAATATACAAAGGATAGATTTTGTAATATTTTCTATGAAAATGGTCACAAATTTTGAAAATACTGATAGTTTAATAAGATTTAAATCACTGCTAATTCCCTGAAAAAATATTTAC